GCAGGACCCGGCATTTGGCCATATTATTAATGATGATTCAATATGGTTGATTATTCTGAGTTACAGAAGAAAGGAATTAATGATCACCCCCTTAGCTGATGAAAATCACACTAACAGCATCTCAGCTAGAAAACCTGTGCGAGGCAGCTTTGTCCTTTGCTCTGCGTTTAGATATTTAAGACCTGGATCAATTCACTGAAAACATTGATTCCTCAGATTCTTCATCTGTGAGTTGAAGAATACTTACCTGCTCCACGGGGGATGAGACACAGTTCATTGTTCAAATGGTGCTTGTAAAGCATGGAAAGGTCCTTTTTTGAAGAGTAAAAGTGTAGACTAAAAAGTGTAGACTAAATCTTCTAAACAGTACAGTGTCTTTTTCTTTAAGAGAAATTAGTGAAGGATAATGGATTCCTGCACATAGGGGACCACATGTGAGTGTGTGGCCAGATCATTGAGAGGAGACTTTATAAGACAAACTCAGCAGGGCATACCTCAGAAAATAGGGTTGAGGTCCTCACTGTCTTTGTAAAGCTGAGCATTATGACTTGAACTGTTTGCATCTATTGTGATTTCTTTTACACAGTGAATCTCGCATATTTTTTGAACAAAGTGAGACAAGAATTGGTGGCTCTTATAAAAAAGCTATTTACAAAGAATACACAGATGGTTCTTTCACTGAACATAAAAAAAGGCTTGCAGAGGAAGCACATCTTGGACTCTTAGGTAAGAGATCTAAAGTTATTTCATGTCAAAGATTTATGAGAGTAAACTGTTGTTTCCACTGGCTCTCCAGCAGTGTCCCTCTGTCTCCAAGGGAAGGGCCCTTGGCTCTGCTGACTCCTGCAGATGGCGGTGCCAGTGGCTTCCTCCGAAAGACACCCCAGGGTGTAAGAAAGCTCTCCAAGGCAATGCTGGGGTGGTGCCCAGCTTGCCTGTGGGAATATACCATGGTCTCCAAAAGTCAGGCTCTGAATTACGAGGCCAGGCTAGGCAGGTCTGGCCCTGTTTACAACCTGGCTGCTTCTGGCATGGCTATGAACTGAGTCTGAGGTTGGCACTAATGTCTATAGATCCCTTCCCAGAGGGGTGTCACTGGGGCTCTGTGAGGAACTGGGAATAGAGCAGTCCAGTTGCTACTGGGCTGCCATGTGATTCAGGTCATGGGCCAGGAACCTGGTCAGTGGCCACACAGGCCCAGGGACAGTTCCCCATGCAAGGGGAAAATCAGTCAGCTAGCGATTACTACAAGCTCGTGGTCATCTGTACATCACTTGATTGAAACATCTTGTAATTAGGCCATGTGCTCTTTCCTAGGACCAGTTATCAAGGCTGAAGTGGGTGAGAGCATCAGGGTGACCTTCCGAAACAATGCCAGCCGCCCCTTTAGCATTCAGCCCCATGGTGTGAGTTACCGCAAGAGCAACGAGGGGGCCTTGTATGGTGCTGCCTCCAGAGGTATGCCTATAGACGGGGCACCAGAGAACAAGCTGTTCTACATGCTGATGTATTAAAGGGGATAAAATAAACAATGTTCCTTAGGCAAAATTCCTGATGTTGATTTCTACAACAGGCACTGAATCTCCAGCCTCTCATGTGAGTCCTGGTGCTACATTTACATACGAGTGGGATGTGCCAGAAGATGTGGGCCCCACAGACCAGGATCCTGACTGTTTAACCTGGCTTTACTACTCGGCTGTGGATGCAGTCAGAGACACCAGTTCTGGCCTTGTGGGTCCTCTCTTGGTGTGCAGGAAAGGAGCTCTGCTCCCTTCTGGGAAACAGGTCAGTCAGAGAGAAATGGAAGTGTTTGCATCCTTGTTGCTGAATCTGCTTTCTCTTCCTGCATTGTGCCCTGAGGGCCTGCCACATTAACACTGCTCAGCACCACCTCCTCTCCACATCGGGGTCTCACCCATGTACTGAGGGATATACATAAAATTAAGAAAGTGGGTTTGTGTTCTGTTTTGTTTTTTATTTTTTTTTAAAGCAAAATCAGTCTGGGTCCAGACAGACAGACTCTGTATTGTGAAACCACTGTCGCAGTGAGCAACCACTGGTGTTCAAGTCTCAGCTGGGATGAGAGTGACCAGAGAAGCATAGAGACTTTAAAGACCAAAACACTCATTCATTTCCAGAGGTGGTGCCTGCTGACAGAAAGAGCATTAGCAGTAGATATCTAGTCATTGGATAGACTAGAGAGCTTTGAGTTCATCAGAATGAAGTATCGATGTATGCTTCTATCCTATTTTGTGAATTATACACATAAATTATTGTGTGCATTTTATTTTTTCCTGACATTTTCTGTTCCCTCATTTCTACTTTCCTTTGTTCTATTTCTTCTCAACAGAAAAATGTGAACGTGGAGTTTTTTCTACTTGCCACAATATTTGATGAGAATCTGAGCTGGTACTTGGATGACAATATTTTGATGTTTACACTAAACCCTAATAAAATTGACAAAGATGATGCAGACTTTCAAGAGTCTAACAAAATGCACTGTAAGAAAATTATTAGTTAGCCAAATATTCATATCTACAATAAGGTTTTTACATTCATGATCTCATATTGGAAACTGGGAAACTGTGTAGTGGCAGAGACATTTCATTCCTTCCCATGGGAACAAAACCACGTCTGAATGCAGTTCCATTTCAGCTGGATGTGGTGGTTCAACATACGACGCCAGCAGCTCAGTGTTTGCATGGCAGTGGAGCATTGAGCAGGCTGAACAGTCCCAGCTCTCCCAGCCTGTCCTCACAGGAGAGATGCTTTCATGTCCCTTCATCATGCTCATGGCCCTTCGCTGGGCTCTCTCCAGTATGGTCATCTCTCTCATACAGGGGAGCCCCGCACTGGACACAGTCCTCAGGTGTGGCCTCAGCAGTGCTGAGTGGAGGGGAAGGGTCTCCCCCCTGGTCCTGCTGGCCACGCTCTGCCCAACACAGCCCAGGACACCGCTCACCTCCGTGGCAAGGGCACATTTTGGCTCATTTTGTGTCCGTGGCCAAGTCTGGATCCCTTTACCAGCACCATGGCCCTCTTGGAATGAAAATCTTTGCTTCGTTAATAGGGCAGAGCTGAGTTAACACTGGTCGTATTTTGGTACTGCAGAAACTTCTTTTAAGTTTCATGTGAAAAACATATTTATCTTCTGTACCTAGTCTTATAAATAAGTCCTAATCTTTAAATGTATTTGCTTGTTCTTATTTCTTAAATTTTGCCCTTGGGGCACACCGGCTAATTATGAGTCTTGATGCTGAGCATTCAGCGGTGCCTGCGAGGCCCAGGCTTTGAAAGTTTTGCACAGGAGCAGCTGCAGCTTCACCCAGCCTGCAGCCTTGATGGGTATAAAGCAGCAGAAGTTCCAGCTCGCCAAGTCCTGTGCTTTAAACACTGAAAGGGAGAACAAGTTAGAAATTGTTTTTAAACACTGGGTCTTAAAAGTTGTTTTGCTTGAACTGATTCTCTAATTTTGCTGATGTGATAAAGTATTTTATTACTCATATTTCTGTCAGTCTAAGGGATCATATTACATCTGAAGTGTGTTTCATTTAATCTGTTTAAGTAATTAAGTAATTACTTTAATTAAGTAATGTGTTAATCAAGGCGGGTTTTGCTTCCTCAAATCTTCTACAGCCATTAATGGTTACATGTATGGAAATCAACCTGGTCTTGAGATGTGCAAAGGAAGTGTGGTTTCCTGGCATTTGATGGGCTTGGGGACAGAAGTTGATATCCATGGGATATATTTTTCAGAAAACACATTTGTAACTAAAGGAACAAGAAGGGATACAGCAAATCTTTTTCCACATACATTCCTTACAGCTATTATGAAGCCTGATTCTGAAGGTAAATGTCTTGTTTAAAAATCCTGTTACTAGTTTAGAAACTGTTTACCCATGAACATTTTATGCTTAGAGACAAGCTTTAAATAGCAAATATATTGATCCTTTAGGTGATAAAACTGTGTACAGATGTGTTTGAAGGGCAGCAAACTTACAGTCATGGGTGGTAAACTCTTAATGCTAAAGCCTTGCTTTTTCTAGCTTCCGAGTATCCTGATTTTATTACCACAAGTAGCCATACTACACGAATACTTTGGATCTGATATGAACAATAGCCCATGTCTCAGTCTCTAAACACTAAATCAACATAGGTAATACAATGTCAAGATATACTAGCAACAGATTTTTGTCCTCAAATGTTTGTTTTTTGTAGGAGTTTTTGAAGTGTCATGCCTGACAACAGATCACTACACAGCGGGCATGAAACAGCATTACCAAGTGAAGCAATGCCACTGGTGGAATGTGGATCTCTCGATGTATTTGCATGTAAAGACTTACTACATTGCTGCAGTGGAAGTTGAATGGGACTATTCTCCTAACAGGACATGGGAATTTGAGCGGCATCAATTCCATGAGGAAAGGTACTTTGGAATATACAGAAGGGAAACAATGCAAAAAAGCAAAGGAGCGACTCACTTCTCTGAACCTTTTCCTTCTCAAGGCATTTCTAGACATGCTTTCTTTGCACATGTGTTTTTGGGGTTCACTTGAATTTGTGGTCCTTCTCCAGTAATGTTGCCATGTAAAGACAGTGGGATGTTTGTGACATGGTCCAGCATAAATCTTCTGTGGGGCAGCTGCAGATTCTCGTGGGTCCTGGGCAGTGCACGTGCATTCATTATTTACCGGTGTTGGTACAGCCCTCGATGCAGCATGCTTAACTTCTTCTTTATGTTGTGGGTACGATGACTGCTTTCTCCTGATGTCGGATTACTTACAACGCGCGCCATGTCTTTGTCTTATGTTTGTCTGTACTCTGACTAAGGTTCATTTTCACTCCTCTCAATTTCATCAGCTTACTCAAGACAAGTCCGTGACTGAATCCATTCACTGTGAAGCTTGTTGCCTTGGTGTTTGTTTCCCAGTACTTGAATCTCAGTGAGAGGGAACTGATTGGACCAAATAATTTGTGTCAATAAGCAGAAGAGGCTAAACAGTGAACTGATGAATTTCTATCTGTTCCAGCTGTATAACTTCAGTTGAGGTTAAAGTACAATAGTAGATTGTAACTGCCTATGTTTTTAAATTGACTTAATTGTATTTTATTCTTTTTCCTCAGCTTGATAGCACATTTCCTTGTGCTGCAAGCCACAGTGGACTCTGTCATAGTTCTAAGCACAAGGAATATGGACCATGCTGTTATGTGACTTTTTTCTCACTGTCTCAGCCTGTGATCTCAGCAGAGAATCGGTCTCTCTCGTTTCATTTCAGCGAGGCACTTAAGCTTTACAAGTTTTAGACTTTGTTTCAGAGCTGCAGAAGTCACTGAGGGCTCTGGTTTTTGGTATGCAAGTTGCTGGATGACTTCTTTAAATTTGAAATGTCTGCCAGGCCAAGCACTCTGCATTCTCTCAAATATTGTATAGACTTGCCTATTTCACAGTGGGCTTTTTAACCTTCCAGGTTAAGAGAAACCTCACAGCTTAACAAAAATGTTTTTGTGTTGAAGATACCAGTGGTCCATGAGATTACTGTTTCACCGAGCTGGATTTCTGTTTGATGGTTGACATACTTGCAAAAGGTGATTCAAAATATGTGAAGAAATGTGTTACATATTCTTATCTCTCTCTCTCTCTTCCCCCCTCCCCCCGCCCAGTCCTGGCAATCCATTTTTAAATAAAGAAGACAAATTCATTGGCTCAAAATACAGAAAGGTAGTGTACCGCGAGTACACTGATCAGACGTTCACTACTCCCAAAACCAGGACAGAGGAGCAGCAGCACCTGGAAATTCAAGGTATAGTCACCACGAAGTTCAGTTTTGAAACTGGGAAAAATGCAGTGAAACAGAACAAGATAATATTTAAGTAATACTGAGTATAGTTCTACCCACACAAAGTGCATAACCCTACATGGAATTGCTACTTTTATTATGGAGCTTTCCTTGCAATATTACATTGCTTGCTTTACAAGAAAAAAGCCCTTCTGGTTTGCTGCCTGACACAGGTCAGTACTTTCAAAGCCAGCATAAAACTGGGCAGAAACATCCAAACTGACTTCAAGCACATGGTAGGTGCTCGGAGCTTTGGAAACTTAGGGCTCTACTTAGAAGCTGAACTTCAGCTGCTCACGTTGGCATTTCATGGTGAATGGCATCATCCATCTCTGGCTTTAGTTGAATTTAAGCCAATGTTGTGTATTTGAACACAACAAACTCTCTCTGCTTTGATCTTTTGTAAAACCAGGTTAATCTCTCTCTTCTATCCAACAGGGCCACTGCTTATGTCAAATATTGGAGATAAAATTAGAATATTTTTTAAGAACTTGGCATCAAGACCTTACTCTATACATGCCCATGGAGTGAAAACAGACAGTTCTGTTGTTGCTGTAACTAACCCAGGTATCAGAGCATCCTTGTTTATTTTGAGCAGGTAAAATCAAGCCTCCTAGTAAGGTTTAGCAAGCTTCCATTTTAGGATAGCAAGAAAGATTTGGAGTTTGTTTGTTTGTTTTTACCTCAGGTTCTTAATTTTTTTTATGCTGATTGTGACAAATATATCTACAATTAAAGTGGCCCTGCTAAGCATTGCTCTTTGTCCTGTCTATTGACAAATCAGTGATTTTTTGATGCGGTGTGGCTGCACCTTTCATGAAAGCAAACAGATTTGGCTACATAGAGTGAGCATAGCTTATGCTTGGGATTAACTCAGAAGTTCCTCTGTCACCTTTACAAAAAACACAATTGTTTTTATTAAGAATGGTAAACTGGACGGCGCAGCCTCACAAAAACAGAAAGTTGGCAAGAAGAGTCAGGGATCTGCAGAAGGGAATTAACAATAAGCTGCCAGTGCAGTAACTGGGGAGAGGAGGTTCAAGAAAAATATAAGCTGTAAATGGAGATAGCATCTGTTTCAGGATGACCTTTTACAGGTCAGTACACAGAAAACTTCTAAAATTCATCAATATTTATTTAATTCAGGTGAAACGAGAACGTACGTCTGGAAAATCCCAGAGAGATCTAGTTCTGAGAGGGGAGATCCACACTGTATTGCGTGGGCGTACCATTCCACGGTGGACATCGTTAAGGTTTGTTACTAATGTACATCTACAGGGCTTTGTTCATGACCTCAAGACAGCAAAAGGGAGAGAAGTTTGAAACTCTTTCTGCTTCCTCTGTCCAGTTGTTCCCCCATTACCGCACCATTTAATTTAATTGTCTCGAATAACGCAGGAAAGTCGGGGCAGAATTTGAGAGTCGCAGCTCTTCATGTTCTCGCTGCCTTGTTCTCCTGCTGCTGCTGCAGACCACCGCTCGGTTTCGTTCTTACAGTTGAAGCTTATAGCTTGCTCAGTATCTTGGCAATCACTTGTGCGACTATGGAACTTCAATCATCTGCCATTTTTGTACAAGCACCCTTTACCTTAACATGACCAATAATTTTTAATGGAAATTAATGTGTTCTTTCCTTCATGTCTCAGCAAACACAAATGAAGGTGTCAAGAAGTGTATTTTAGATGGAAACAAAGCTCAAAATCCTAAAACAAAAATCATTTGGAAAAAAAAGATGAGCAAGTAATTACAATGTAACAAATGTTTATTTCTAGCAAGAGTTGAAAAAAGAGGCAGTTACTCCTCATAGTCCATTGAACTTGATCCGTGAGTGACACGTAACAGTGAAGAAATAGACTCATTTGGCACTGACAGCTGTAAAAATAGCAAGAAGATTCATGTCTGGTATTAAAACAGCTTCTGCTTAGTCACATCTTGTAATTGTATGTTTTTTTGTTTGTAATTTCAGGACACTTACAGTGGATTAATAGGCACACTTGTTGTGTGTCATAGACATTATTTGCCATCATTTCATGCTAAAAAGAACATTCAATTTGCTCTTCTTTTTATGGTTTTTGATGAAAATGAGTCATGGTACTTGGATGAAAACATTAAAACCTATTCTACCAACCCACACCTTGTTGACAAAGAGGATGAGGAATTCCTTGAAAGTAATAAAATGCATGGTATGTTTTCCAATTTAAACTATAAAATTATATGTTTGAAAGTACTGCATATGAATTTTACTTTCTTTTTCCCTCTAAATTTCCAATTCCAGAGCTGAAGGCCTGAAAAATTTAACTCAAACTATTTGAAAACACTGTTAATGCCACTGAATGATTTTTTTTTAACCTATGAAAAAATCATATTTGAAATTTTCATTTGATGTTAGCAAACAACTGTTCTGGATAAGCTGCAAAGGCAATGTGCATCCTAAAGCATGTCCTGGTAAAGCTTACCCTTTACAAGAGCTGCAGGAAATACAGATCTTTAGGAACTGCAATATGAGCAATGGTATACAGTAAAGAACTGTTCTTTTAACTACATCTAGTTCAATATGAAATATAAGAAGACCCATTCATAATATGCTGTCCAATTGGTTTTTTTTGTTTTGTTTTCCTAATACACCATCCAAAGCTGTTACTTTTGCCTGACATTGGCTTTCAAATCCTGTGTACTATTAGAGTTCAGAGAGTAACGAATCCCAAAGTCTTATTTGCATTCTCTGTCCCGCTCTTTCCTTCTGTTTAGCCATTAATGGAAAGGTGTTTGGAAATTTACGTGGCCTGACCATGCACGTAGGGGATAAGGTCAGCTGGTATTTGATGGCAATGGGCAATGAAGTAGACCTTCACACAGCACACTTCCACGGCCACAGCTTCGAGTACAAGGTACCAGCTCCCGCATTTCTTGCTGCGTTAAGAACGAGACCAATACCAAGAACTGTGATGTCTGGTGACAACTCAGATGTTACAGTATTAAGCAGGACTTGTAATTTGACTATAAAGCTTTTATGCCCCAAAGCTGTATTTGATGAAATACAAGAGACAGAGAGTATCTGTATTGCTGACAGGTAACCTCACCAGTTGCTCCAACAAGGTAGCTGTGAACTTTCAGGGCTGTGGTAAGACAAGAGCAGTGGTTTTCCTTCATTTCCACTTAGCTGCTAGTTTATTAATTTTCTAAGCATAAAGTGGATGTACAAAGTGACACTTCTGCAGAAATGACAAGCAGTAGATGTCTTTCCACTGAATGGTGATTAAAAAGTTTGGTGGGAACATGCATAAAAGGTGCCTTAAATCACTGCCACCTGGTAATGCCACAGTGTTTCACCAGTGCTTCTTTTTGTCCGGAAGCACAGAATCACAGACTCACAGAATCACAGAA